ATGATATATTCTTTGATAAAACTGATAACGGCCTTCTGATCTACATCCTTTAAAGGAATTGCTTCCACCCACTTAGTAAAATAGTCTGTTGCAACTACAACATATCTGTGTCTCACAGAAGAAGGTGGATGAATCATGCCTGTAACATCAAGGGCCCAACACTGGAATGGCCATGGTTTGACTATACGAGTGTGTATGTGGAGTATCAGCATGTTTCTGACAATCTACACACCCTCTGACGAAATTACTACAATCCGGAATCATAGTTGGCCAAAAAAACCGTGGCGGTGAAGTAGCCACGCCATCTTCCTGCTTCCTTGGTGAGCACCACAAAAACCTTCATGAGTTTCTAACATCAATACCATGGACTCCAGTTTTCCCAAACATCGAAGGAATACTTCATCAGATGTCTTACGATATAACTGCCCTTGCAACAATATGTAGTTGGGCGCTTGTCTCCGGATGGATAACGATGTATCATATGTTGGGTCTTGCAAAAACCTGATAATCGGCGTTCGCCAATCTTCTGTTGCAGTAATTGTTGCAACAGAAAATTCTGCATTCAATGGATATCTGACATAGGCAGGAGTATCGAAATCAACTGTGTCGTAAGTAATGTCTGGTCCCAATGGTGTCTTAAGGTATCCGGATGCTAATTGTGTCATATCATTTGCTTCTGCATTGAATTCTCTTTCAACGTTATGAAACTCAATCTGCTGGAATCGGGCAGCTAACATATCTCCCACTGCTGCACATTTAGCCATAACTTCATCACTTTGTTCCATCAACTTCTTCATTTGGCCAACGACTAAAGTGGAATCTCCGATGACTGTTGCATGAGCTGCACCATTATATAGAAGCGTCTCAAGTGCATGAATTAATCCTTCATATTCAGCCTGATTATGTGTAGCTTTGAAACTCAACCAAACTTGACATCGCAGTTTTGGTCTAAATGGTGGTGTAAGCACTGTTCATGTGCCACTACAGTAAAAAGTTCTTGAGCCATTGAAGTGTACTATCCACATAGGAGTTTCTAACTGGTGTACTTGAAAAGTACTAAGGAATTCATCGTCCCAATCATCGTCAAGTGAAGGGTATGCGGCCAAGAAATCTGCTAACGCTTGTCCTTTCACCGCTGATTGCGGTACGTGTTGAAATTGATATTCCATCAAAGCCAGGACCCATTTCCAATCCGGCCACTCATCATTGGTCGATGCAGCATGTAGCGGACAAGATTGATTTTACTAATAACACAGACTAGTCTCGGAAGCATGTAATGCCGCAACTTAGTCACAGCGAAATATAATGCTAAACAAAGTTTTTCAATTGGTGGATACCGGCGTTCAGTGTCTGTAAGCATTCTGTTGAGGTAGTAGCTCTTTCTAATCTGTCATGACCATCTTGTGCTAACAAACAACCCAATGACTCTTCTGTTGCTGACAAATATAGCTTTAAAGCTTTATCCGATATCGGTGGAACCATTACTGGAGGAGTTGATAAAGCCTGTTTAATATCCTGAAAAGCTTGCTGCTGCTAGTCACCCCATACAAAATCTGTTGCAGATTGCACTTTCAAAAGTGGAGAAAAAGGTTTCAACTTCTTCGACAGATTCGAAATGAATCGGCAAAGGAAATTAACTTTGCCGATTAAGCTCTGTAACTCCTTCTTTGCCTTTGGGGGTCTAGCTTCAATGATTGCTTTAGCTTTTTCTTCATCAATTTCAATACCTCTGGAGTGTACTAAAAACCCCAAGAAAACTCCTGAGGAAACAGCGAATGCGCACTTCAATGGGTTCAACTTCAGTTTATACTTCCTCATGCGCTCAAGACACTGACGCAGATGTTTTAAGTGATCCCCAAAAGAATTCGATTTCATCGCCACGCCATCTATGTATACCTCCAGAACCCTTCCGATGAGATCATGAAAGATGCAGTTCATTGCTCTTTGGTATGTTGCTCCGGCATTCTTTAACCCGAATGGCATAACCTTCCACTGGAAAATGCCTAAGGATCCTGGTGCACGGAAAGCAATCTTATGAACATCTGCAGGAGCTGTGAAAAATTGGTTATATCCAGCATTGCCATTAACAAAACTCATGACTTGAAAACCCATCAACCAACCTGTCAATCAATGTTTCCGCATTCGGCATTTGATATTCATCCTTGGGAGATGCTAGATTAAGATTGCAGAAATCTGTGTAGACCCTGGTTTTGCCATTTTTCTTGATAATGGGGACCACATTAGATTACCATTGAACATATACTGCAACTTCGATCAAGTCAACTGCCGATAAACGTTCAATCTCTTCCTTCACCTTGTTGACCACATCTTCTGAAAACCTCCTTGGCGGTTGTTTGAATGGCTTGAAACCCTTTTTTAAAGGGATACTGTTTTCTACCAAACTCCTATCTAAACCTGGCATTTTCGTATAGTCCCAGGCGAAACAATCACGATACTGCTTCAAAAGATCAACTAGTGACTTCTTGTCATCGCCGGATAAGAAAGAACTAATATAAGTAGCCTTCTCCTCGCCAGATGATCCTAAGTTTATTGCTTCGACTGGTTCTTTGGTAACAATTGCTTCATCACTTAGCTTTGGAGTTGCAGTAGCCAAATCATTCAAATTGATAACGTCACTGTTTGAAACTGGATCTACATCATAAATTATTGCATTCCAACATACTACAGGAGTTTCAATTTGATATTGACGCACATTCTCAAAATACTGCAACACACGCTTGATGGCGGCTTGCTTTTCATTTGCCTTCAACAATTCTTGACCTAACTCCATCGTATCCAAAACACTTAACTGTTCAATTGTCTTCATTAAATACTTCTTCAATAGACGGAGCAGCTGGCAATAGCCTTAACATGTTGTAATTGTATTGCCTGTTGACTTCTTGTAATAGCAACTTCCATTCTGGAAGACTCATATCACGACGCATAGTGGCCTGTTGCGGCCGACTATACTTATCCATCCCAATAAGACGGTATGGACCTACTTCACTGTTGTAATAGTAAGCCTCTACAGCATTAGCTTGAGCTGCAAATGGACTTGCATCGGCAGCTATGATTTCTGGTCCATCTGTTCCCCATATAATAATCGCCTGATGTAATGAGGAAGGGATACATCTTGCTGAATGGATCCAGTCACACCCTAAAAGGGCATTATAAGACGCTTTAGTGCCAACCACAAAGAACGCCGACACCACCACTTGTGATCCTACCTCCATTTGTAATGGGAGGATTCTTTTAGCGGTTGTAACGTCTCCTGTATATCCGCTAACAAGAACTTCAGTTGGCACTAAATCTTTGAGTTGCTTGCCTAATCTCTGTAAAGCTCTTGTGGGTAAGATATTAATTGATGCACCATTGTTCACTAACACCCGTATAAATGGTACTCCATCCATGACGGCACAAATGTATAATGGCCGAATGTGAGTCCTAGAGTTCTCAGCTGGCTGAGAGAGCATTATGACCGAGCCTTTACCTTCTTGAGATAGCAGCTGAATACCACCAACCGTAGCGTCATGTGGTTCTGTTACAAACAAAGCTGCTTCAGTAACAACTAGTGAGTTTGCAACAGTTTTGGGGATGATAGTTGTTGCAGTTGCAGGTTCTTTCAAACGAAAAGTTTTTGGTAACATATAAACCATGTTTACTGGTGGGAAGAACGTATCCACTTTCCTCCACAACTGTGATCGTCTATCTCCCTGCCCTGAAAACTTATTCATTGACGCTTGCTGGGATAGCAGTGGTTGTTCCTCTTGTATCGTTCCTAATTTTCCTGTTGCACCCCTATTTTGTTTATTCACAACCCTCTGCCATCGTCGTTTCTGTGTTCCTGGTCATCTTTTCTTTCCTTAATGGTGGAGTAGGGAACTTGGGATGAACAGCGCGATGCCATTCTCTGTCATTCACGGGTGCTGCTCTGACTGACCTTGGCTCGGTTTTATCCCTTTGGCTGGAATGCTGAATCCGTTGCCACACTGACGGTCTTGTATCATGAACTTGGTATGGCAAGTTAGCCTTAGGGTTAACAACGGTATTCCCCAGCCTTGTATGGACGGTCACTCGTTACTGCGTCTGAAGAACTTATGCATTCAAACCCAGATGTTGTAAACTCTGTTGCTAATTTTGGTTCAAAGCACTCAAGATTGCATCTGACACAGCTCTCAGTTTCTCTTACTCCGGATCTAAATGTGTTTCCTTTTGTACCCATGTCTGCGTCTGTCCATTTATCACTATATTCACTTCTGTTGCAGATGGACGTGTATTCTGTCGATGCAAATGGCCCCCGAATTTAGACCCTAGCTCTTGCAACTGTTGCTTGACCTTATTATATACTTTGTCACAATCTTCACAACTAGCGACCAAACACGCGTCAGAAGAATGACTTCTGAATCCTACATTTACCATTCGGACTTGATGCTGTGGCGGGAAAGGATTGACATTCATTTCAACTGGATCCTCTACTACCACATAGCCATCATCAATCATCTTTTGAAGTTTATTTCGAAACACCACACAATCATTTATGGTGTGAGTCCATGACATGTGATACTTACAATACGTCTTTCCAACCAGATCCGCCGGCTTTGGTTGTCTATATCCGCTTCTGTACTGCATATGGCCTTTCTGGAACATGTCAACAAAAATGGCCTCTTGTTGCGATATGTCGAAAGAATATACTCTACCAATGTTGGCTTCGTCAGCTTGCCCTGAGGTGCCTGCCGGTGCACCCACCGGTGGAGGAGTATTATAAGAATGTGGAACTGTAGGGCAACGCAATGCGTCACACGTGTAGTTACGGACATTGACGATTTCAGCAGCATTAACCTCGTATCATCATCGTCCTCATCATGAACCCATTGGTTCTGATTTACTTCTGCTATTGGGGCCTTGTTGAACCATTGCTTCCTCTTTCCCGGGTTCTTCTCCCTTTTATCTTTAATGACTTTCTCACATCTCCTTACAATATCTGTCAAATGATTTAAAGATCAAACAGAATGCGGTGCGACGGCAAACTTGACTTTGTAATCCTGAATCCCAGCAATTGCCATCTTGACAATAGTTGGTTCGTCATACTTATCCGGTATCTTAGCATACATTTGACGAAAGCGTATCAAATAAGCTTTAGCAGTTTCTCCAAACTTCTGTCGAATTTCTGAAAGATCAACAATTGACAACCGTGTGGTATCCCTACGGAAGTAAGACAAGAATTCTCGCTGCTGCATTTCCCATGACGGGATAGAGCCTGGTGCTAGTGATCGATACCAGTCAAAGGCGGTCCCTTTTAGAGAATAAGAGAACAAACGCAACTTGATTAAAGCATTGTTGCTTACCGACCCGCACTAAAATTCAAACAAACTTATATGATCCTCAAGTCTCTTCTCATCCTCTCCTGAGAATTGCTGAAAATCGGGAATCTTAAAGTTCCTTGGCAATGGCTCCCATTCGACATAGCCGGGATATGGTTTTCCTAGAATCTCTGGAATTTCTGTGCCCAACTCCTTACAGATCTTGTCCTCTATCATTCTTGAAAACACATCCTCAGCATTTAAAATCTGATCAACACCTGTCTTGAAATTCTGTTGCTGATTATCGTTCCTTGCTGCATCCGGTTCTTGTCTAACTTCGTTACCAAGATCAACCTGAAGACGACCACCTTCTTGACCCCATATACGCTGGTGACGTGGGTTATGCCTATTTCCCGAATTCTAGTTTCCGATATGTCTTCCAATAGCTTGTGCCCTATTTCGATTAAGAATCTGGTTTGCTTTGTACTCCATCCACTGTTGGTCCTCTCTATTCTCTTCCAATGTTTGATGAGGTGGAACAATTTGCGAATCAGCAACCATAATACCAGAGCCTTGAGGTATTTGTGAATCATCAAAATTTACAGCTGCGGTATTATTTCCTGGTACTCGTTCTGATATAATATAAAGCGGCGATCATTGGTCGCCTGCACGTGTTGACCAGCCTGCCTTGCATTTTCAATAACAACACCTTGATTATTTACCGTACCAACAGGGCCCTGATTGATTGTTACACCCGCAGTTCCTTGGACACCTACATCTGCTGTTCCCTGTGGTATGTACGTTAGCCTAGGCGCACCTTCTTGTCCACTCAGTTGTGATGGGACCACCGCTAATCCTTGTCGATGCTGCATTGGTAAAACTTGCTGTGGAAATGTAGCATTTTGTAACTAAAATTGATTTATCTCTTGCGCATTCCTTGCAAGAGTATTATTTGTTGCATTTCCCCCATGCTGCATTCCAGGAGTCACCAGCCACGGCGCCTGGAATCTTTGATAGGGTAATTGCTATCCCCATGACGTTCCGAGCATCATCACTGGTATGCCATATGGAGGGGACAATGGAGGCAACTGACGTCCATCAAAAGCAAAATTCCCTAGTGGTGACACAAAAGCTGGTTGTCTTGGAACAACTGGGTAATACCAACTTTGTATTCCTTGTAATGCTACGTTGTGAGATCCACTGTTACTTGGTCCTGCTCCGAGATTCTGCACCGGAGTATCTGTTGCAGATGTCTGGAATGTGGCATGATATAAAGGATTATTAACCATACTGACTGGTGGCATCTCTGAACTCACTGCTCCTGTAGCCGCCGTGTTAACTCCTGACGTCATAGATCTACTAAGTGTAGCACTTCCTGTGTTTGCATTGTGGTCAAATAGCCTCTAAAAAGCATCCTTAAAACGCTCCACTTGTGTAGCCATAGCATGCTCTATTTCTGAAAATCGTTGATGCAACATCTCGGGAGTTATCCCTGGAACCTGACTCGTTTGGCCCTGGATACCGAACACAGGAACCTGAAACAATGGGCTCTGAAAGGCTAGAGTTTGAAACCCTGGACTTCTGTAGGACCCGAGATAACTCGATCTTTCTCTGAACAGACCTGATCCCACATTGGACTGTTGCTGGCTAGATTGTTGTAGTATCCCAGTGGACTTATCCGTTGTTATTGTTGAATAGGAATCCACTGCCGAAATGTTCGGAAGCGTATTCATCGGCAAGGAACTCCCACCTGATGCAAAAGCCTTTAGTCTAGAGCTCTGTCCTGCCGAATGTGTTGTTGCTGATGACTGAGGTAATGGCATCGTTTTTTCTGCTTAAACAACGCCTGGAACACGCAAATCGGTCTCACTAGGCGTGCCAAATTTTATGTTAGTCAAAATTGTATTTTAGAGTGGAGACCGATTCGGCTCAAACTAATTTCAAACGACTGCATGATATTTTTGAAATACGGAGTCCAAACGCTGAGATTTGCCTAAACGGACCGATGCCTTTGAATTGACACTCAATCGACGACCCAAAAGAGTAACGAAAATTATGGAAAATGGATAAAACGGAATGCAAGAGCCTGTTTTATTGATTTGATTAAAGACGAGTCAGCTTTGAATAGCCCGAAACGTCGAAATGGTTACAAGATTGAAGATCAAAACGTAGAATACATTAAAAGCCTGACAATCGAAAGATAAAAACTGTAAAGAAAAAAAATATGAAATTCTAATTCTTGAATGATGAGTTCCGTCCTCTCCTGGTGCCTCCTTAATTGCTTTTATATAGGTTCCGCCAACCCTAGCTAAGTCGCAACAGAAGTCAAATTCCACAAGGATTCTGTTGCAGCTAGAATCCTTCTTCGATATGGACTGCGGCATCATTGACTCCTTTTCGGACTCGGCCTCCTCGCTCTTTGCTACATCCGTGAATTCTAATCAAGGCGGGTTTCAATCCGATTCTTCCTCCATTAAAGTGCTGCGATCGGCCCATTCTCATGTGGACCAGATTTGTCAAAAATCGGTCCAACAGCTGTGAGAACCCTAGGCTCAGCTGCATCCTTCAATTTTCCCGATGTACAACCATCGCTGAGTCGAGATGGACCCACCACACTTGTTCCCACAGCTTTAATTGAAGGATTTTGTTGTTTCCCCTCTTGATTCACTGGCTTAGTTGACACTCCTTCAATCACTGCAACCAACTGATTGAGTTCTTCTTCCTGCCTCATGACAGTTCTCCACGACGATTCTTTCACCTTCGAGCTTTCCCCACCATGAGAATTGTAGATCTGAGTTGAGGCTTCTTCATGTGACTTAATTGCCTTCACCAATCCCGTTTTCTTCTCTTTCTTTTTTCGGCCAACCATGGCTATAACGTACACCGAGAGAAAGAAGAGAGAGAGAGAAAAACTATTATTCTTATTTTTTTTTAATTTTTATTAATATCATAAGAATGAACAATTTGTAAAAGGTGTTTTTTGCATGATTGGGATAGAAGGATATTGTAAATGTTGATTTTAGTGAGCTTGATTGAACGAGCATCCGAATATTTGATTGACGTGTAACTAGCCATGGTATTGAACTGACACAAAAGAATGTTGCTTATCTAGTTCTGTTATAATGCGGTTGGTAACCATTAGGGCTCTACAAGGAAAAACTACGTGTGTTAGATCGTAGATGAAAGCCGCTATTGAAAAGGAGGCAAGGGCTTGGCTTATGCGATTGACTCTGTAGGAGAATATTGATTGTCAACAGAAATTATCTGTTGGTTCATTAATGAAGCGTGTAGAGATGGCTAAAGAGTGCTTCGGTAAGCTGCATCTACAATGGCCTAAATTTAGTTTATGATTGTGCCAACTTTGCAAAAATCTTATGAACTAGAAGATACGATTCAGTTCCCTGAATTTCCATTTCCACTTCAATTTCCATTTTCTTTTATGTTACTTTGAAAGATATATGCATGACGTTTAGCTAGGCTTGGTTAATTTCCCCGACTCTATTGAGATCATCAATTTATCTGCTAATATGATAGTAAAACGATTAGTAATTCAACCATGAAATGTGTAGCAACATCAGCTTTTATGTGAGATGTCATTTGGGAGAGATACCCTAATTTATTGCATATGGATAAGTTATTAGCGCAGTGCAACTGTGTAGGTGCCTTTGTAATGCAAGGAAGTTTAGTTTGGCTATATTTGGGGTTAATGGAAGCTTAGGCAAAGGTGTTCGTTTGGTGTAGTGTAGCTTGTAATACCCCACAATTACTTTTCATATTGAACTTTATCGGGGCAGGATGCTGAAGTTTGGAAGGGTTACGATGTGTAGTTTTCAGCATTTAGTGTTAAGAATCTTCTAGCGTAAGGGGGTTGTATACTCCTGGATTCTTAGAAATGTCACTTAAAATTGCTTATGACTTATCGTTAGTATATCATATGGACATCTAAAAAATTACAGCATGCAGCCGTTTCGGTTATATCTGCCATTGTTACTTTTGGGGACAATATACTTATGTGTTTGCCTGTCTTTATAAACAAGATATAATTCATGCTAACTTGAATTTGCTGTGAAAGCTAAGACAGTTTTTTCTTCTTTTTCCGAATTAAAATAAATATCCCTATGAGCCTATATACTCAAATTGCCACACATGATCACTAAAGCTCTCATTAAATTTGAGCCTTGAGGAGTATGAAAGTTGTTTGAACTTATTTTGATGTTTAAGAAAGATACGACAATATTTATAATTTTGGTACTCGTGTAGACGAGATGAATATTTAGTCGATTCTTTGGAAAATATTTAAAACACTATCAATGGTAGTGTAAGTACAGTAAAGTGAATATAACTTAATTAAACCAACAATGCTAGTACGTACTACTAATAGTAGCTAGAGGATTATTGGCAATTGGTTTATTAATTATTATTACTCAAAAATCAAATATGAGAAAATAAATTCTAGTAAATTATAGGACAAATAATTTGTAAATAATTGTTTGGTTATATACTAATGAGCTATAGGATCATATTATTTATTAAAAAAATGAAATAAAGATTATATATTCTCTAATAGAATAGGTCTAACAAAAACTTAAAGAGAAAAAAATGAAATAAGAAAAAAATAAAAAGAGTTTGTTAATTGTTTTGTTCTTTTTATACATATTTTAGGGGTTATTTATAATTTTTGAAATTATTGAGGAGTTTTTGTAATTAAATTTTACTCGTTTTATTAATAAATTAACGGACATAGGCTAAAGTTTACGGGATTTGACGCAATTAGCCAAAAGTAAAATTATGCGGATGAAATTGATTTCCGAAAATACTTTTGGATTAAATTGGTGAGGAGGTGGAAACTTTGGGTTAAAATTGACCATTTTCTCTAGTGAAGCTGTGAGGAACTGTATAAATTCATCTTCGTTCAAATTTCTTTTCAAGCTCTTTTTTTGTTTTTCCTTCATATCTCTCCATACTGTTTGTTTAGAACTGCAAATTACCTCTTTTGTAATTTTTTTTAGAGAATCTAACAGACGTTTGTTTCACTTCGAGATTCAATTCAGAAACTGCATCAATTCATACAGTAGAATGTCAAATCAGCAATCCCTAAATCCAATTCTCTGTACTGCTTTCAATCAAGATAACAGGTGAATTCATGTCATTCTTGACCGAATTCGTCATCAAAAGTACTCATCTTTCTTTGAGATATGCTAATCCATTTATTATTGATATTTTTTTTTTTGGGTTGGCAGTTGTTTTGCAATTGGAACAAGCGATGGATTCAGGATCTTCGATTGTCGTACCGGCAAACTTCGATACGAAAGAGGTAAATTTGTGATTACTCAACATTCTTTAGCGATTTCTAGGTTTTCTTTCGTGTTTGTTCTTTAAATTCGGTATTGCCTCGTGTAATTTTACCTTTTCTTTGCTGTTTCTTTAATTATGGCGGATGGCTAGTTTTAGTTTGGGGCTGTAAGAGTTGCTTAATTAGATCATGGCGGGTGATGGATGTGTTGCGGTTTCATTTTTACTGACTAGTTGTAAAATCACAATTTGTTGGTAGCAATTTCTTCTCCTTCCACATCGTGTTTTCCGGTTGGATATGATCAAATACGGATTCACTTTTACTGGCTCCTTAGTTGTAAAATGTCGGATCTATGTGTTTCTGCCAGAAAATCATAATACTGAAGATTGAGTACTTTTCTTATGAATTTGTTGTAATCCCTATGAGAATTCACATACCTATGTTTGCTGCATGTGTAATGTCTGTAACCATCAATCATGGAGTATTTAGTGGTCATCTCTAAGTCAAGACTGTTTCAATGATGGAAGATTTCTCAAACAATTTAGACCGAGGTTATAATTCTCTTGAAATCTTTTATTTATGCTTATCAGCTGTTGGAGCATTTGGCGTCGTTGAAATGTTGTTCCACACTAGTCTACTGGCTGTTGTTGGTGCTGGCGAGCAGGTTTGTTGCAATAGTTTGGTCTCACTCTTTCTCTATCTCTCTCTCACATGCACACTCAAGCGCACACACACACACACACACACACACACAGACACGCACGCACACACACACACACCAAGTACGGGTTTTATTCCGAGAATTGCATCTTTTACCATTGTAATTTCAATTTTTGGGCAGATTCTTATGCTGCATCTGATTGTAACAGGCATCACTATCCCCACGGAGGCTATGTCTTTTTGATACCGTGACTGGAACTGCACTCCGCAACCTAAATTTTTTGACTTCAATTCTTGCTGTTCGTTTGAATATGAAAAGGTAAACACGCTTCATTGCTAACCTCTTATATAGACTTGTTTTGTTTTGGTTCTAGGATTGGGTAGTTTAATTTAACTTCAAAAGGATTCTGACTAAAATGACTAGTAGCTGCAGGGAAGTGTAATCCGCGAAGTTATTGTCATTCTTTCTTTTTACTTGAAAGATTTCTAGTTTTAAGATGTCAGAGGTCCCTCAAAAGACCCCCGAAAAAAAAAAGAAAAAGAGTTGTCATAGGTGTTTCATGAAAGTTGCTGCTTCTTAGGAAATTATCTTATCTCATTTATCCAAACCGGAATGAAAGTTGCTGCTTCTTAGGAAATTATCGTATCTCATTTATCCAAACTGGAAAAAAAAAATTGTTTCTTAAATCTAAAACAGGAGTGTATGATATTTTTGCACGTAGTCTCGGAAAGATTTCATTATTATCAAAGTGAAAGATGAACCGGGAGAGCAATGAATTAGTAGATGATTTGGCTACTGTTTTAATAATTTGTTTCTGTTATGCATATTCTTTATGCTGCTTGCTTTAATTTTGTGTAGTTTCCTTCTGTCAAGGTTTTGATTTTTCATTAAAAGGTTAACCTTGTAAAGTGCAGGTTGGTTGTTGTGTTACTTGAGAAGACCTACATTTATGACATAAACAGTCTCGAGATTGTGGACACCATAGATACAGTGCCAAACGTGAAGGGTTAGATCATACAATCTCTCTACAATACATGTTTCTTGTATCAGTTAAACCACCATTACTGCTTTCGGTTCTTTTTCGAGAAATTTGTCCGTTGTTTAAATAACAGTGGGAAAAATAGGTGGAGAACGTTTGATTAAGTAATTTGTGTGTTTTTAAAGTTACTTTTCATTTATCATTTTTAGGACTTTGTGCATTTTCTCCAAGTCTGGATGGCTCATATTTGGCTCTTCCGGCTAGTAAAACAAAGGGATCTGTTTTGGTCTACAATGTGATGGAACTGCAGTCTCACTGTGAGGTGTGCCTCTCCAGTAATTCGTTTTACTAATAGTTGAATGAATAAGTTCCTTCGGCATAAATTACGTCTCATGCCTTAAACTTATGGTCTACTGAAGAGTTTCTCGTTTTTGGGTTGCATTAACTAAGACGTGTTATGTATGATATGTCTACTTCTATATATTGGTTCTAAGGTACTGGCTGGAACCAACTTACTATGCGTCCCAATTTTTATTTGTTTGAGATTATTTCCTGATTGATGGTTACATATTATATGTATCTAGTTCATCTATACTTGTGTAATTGCTTTTGAAGGTAAGTTGTGGAAAAGCACATTTGAACGTACTCATAATCCATTAAAGACTGGGTAGGTTAGTTTGACAATGAGCAAATCAACCATATTACTAATATTTAACTCATCATTTATTGTCTATATTACATTGGTTTTTCACTTTCAACATGATTATAATGGGCATTTTGCATTGGTGTTTCACTTTCAACTTGGTTATATTAATGTGTCCTACTAGTTTTAAGGAACAGGACCAGTGGTAGATAAGTTGGCGGCAAAAAGACTTTGCTATTGTTTGGCTAACTATTTTGTCAACATTTTGAAAATGCAGATAGATGCTCACCGCTCACCACTAGTTGCGGTGGTACTTTCTTTTGATGGAATGTACATAGCAACAGCATCAGAACAAGGGACCATAATCAGAATTCATCTTGTTTCCAATGCAACTGAGGTAAATATCTGAACTGTAACTTATCTTTTATAATGATGAAAATGAAATTTTATTTATGTGAATATGGTGTTTGATATCTCTATATCAATTTGTTTTTAGATTAAAATATGTCAATTTTATTTATGTCAATTTGTTTTCTCAAGCATGTGTTTTTAGATTAAAATATCAGTAGACGAGCATGTGGGATCTTGTTTTACATTAGGTTAACTGTTTTTTTGGTATAGCTCCTAGTTCTGTCACTGATTCCTGATCAATATGTATCTCTTTGCTCAGATACATTGCCATTTTTATGCAACCCATGGGACTGTCCATAAATTAATAACAGTTTGAAACCCATTTATTCCCTATGATTGCAAATATGGCCACTGAGCTTTTTAGTTGTTGTTGATTATTATTATTATTATTATTATTATTATTATTATTATTATTGTTGTTGTTGTTGTTGTTGTTGTTGTTGTTGTTATTGTTGTTGTTGTTGTTGTTTTGTGTTTGGTCTTATTGTCTTACTCTTACTAGTCTTACAGCTTTAGAAGGGGAATCTATGCATCACATATCTATTCCTTGTCATTTGGTCCGTCCATGGATCTTCCAGATATTCTTCTTGCTTCAAGCTCTTCGGGTTCTGCTCATGTTTTTTCTCTTAAACGCGCCCTGAATCAAAGGTGAAAATTTTTCATATTCCTTGTCATTTGTCATTTCATTTTTCTTTGTATTTTGGATCATTGTAACTCCTGTATGCTAAAATCAAGTGTAATTTTTGCAATAAAGTGTGATTGCCATCAAATGATTGCAAATTCAATTCCATTATATGAATGGAATGATTGACCTGTAACTCAAAACTTTCTCCTTCTGATTTAGGCTGTGCTCGTATAGCTTCAGACTTCAGTTACCCTAAATGTAGTAATAAATAGTTACAGCAGCTTTTTGTTTGTCTATTTTACCTACAGTTTTCATTATCTTAGAATGGCAGAATGACATGTTTCATGTTTCTTCCTGTTTGAATTCTCCTTAAAACATTGCCAGAAGAAAGAGATCAACTACCTTTCTCGGATCCATAGTACCTGATTCTGTTACTGATGTGCTTGATCCTGCTCATCACCACATACTTCATGGTGCTGTTCCAACTGGCGTTAGAAGGTACAGTAAATCAGATTTCCTCACTAATTATCCTATGATTATTTTCAAATAAATGGATTTAGTGCATGAGTCTTATGGCTACTTAATGTTTGAATTCTGGGCTTTGGAGGATCAAGATACATTCCATTAAGTATCCAAGTGGAACTGGATTATATGCAACCTGCGCCTAACATGTTTCCAAATTAGTCAGGAATCTTTTCCTGTATGAGTAAGGAAACAGAATACATGGTTAGCAATCAAAGCATTACAATGGCACAGATCTGTTCTTACTACTCGAAAGTATCATAACAGATAATTGTTCTTATCGGAAGTCTTACATTGATCTATGAAATGCTTTCCGGTTGGGAAGTCATTCTCATGAAGTCATAATCGCTCATTTTTATTCGCTTAAATTTGTAGATTCGACGTCTGATATATGAGACTTGACCGTATTTCATGTCCTTTGCGTTGCCTTCAATCTCGCTTTCTCCTCCTTTAAGGCTAAACAAGTACTCCCTCCGTCCCATAATTATTGTCCAGTTTGGGTTTTCATTTCTAGTTCAAATTGTACTAAAAGTGAAATTTCAAACTGAACAATAATTTTGGGACAGAGGGAGTATAACACTAGTTTCCTTTTTCATTTCTGCTACTCACGAGTATCTGTATATCCTTTTTTGAGAAAATTTTAAATTTCTGGCCTAAGTTCTGAATTTTCATCTACTGCTAACTTTTATGGCGTGGAGTGTAAAAAAATATATTTCTTTTTAAACAATTATTTGATCCTTCCAGGGTGTGCCATTAGCTTAACCTACTATATGTGGACTCTTAACAGCCAAAACTTTCTTTTTCGGGAGCTGATTCGTGAAAGTGGAGACATACATTTTAATTTTGATTAAACTGATGCATAGTGAAGATGAGTCAGGGTTAAAATTTTTCTGAATGAAGGCCAAATATTTGAAATAAGGAACCGAAAGTTATTTGGTGTTGCTTAGCTTTTCTGAACAAATCAGCTTTCCATTTTCAAGAGTGAAATTTTCATTTTGTCTTGTACTAAGATATTGTTCTTGTACAGCAATGCAGTCATCCGGAAGATGGACATTGTTAATGACAAATCAATCTCTGCAAATGAGATCTTAAGGTAACATCACTTACGAATATGCTCGTAGTTTATTTTTTGCACCTTTTTTCCAGTGTAGTATTCGGCGTATAATCATTTCCCTGCTCGCCTCTATCCATAATGTCCGTTTTCATCCTTGGTATTCGAATCTGCAGAGCTACAATATCAATAATCAGCTACGGCGGATATTTTCTCGAGTATAGCTGCAGTATCAACCAACAAAATGAAGTTTCATGGACGCTGGAAAGAGAGTTTAATCTGCTAACAGCTAAAGCAGAAACAAACACAACTTCCAACTCTAGAGATTAATGCCTGCTTTCTCCGGTTGTTGGTTGCATTGTATATATAATGTGTTTGTATTGTACAGTCTATAGATTCATAATCTATATAAATCAATACTTCTTCCATTTCAATTCAATTAGGACACTTTCTTTTTTAAAATTTTTCAAAATCAATCCTATAATTTTTGTCTATAAATTTTCTATTATATCCCCACTACTATCGTTCAAATTTAGAACATAAAATTTAATTCAATTCTCAATCTTGCCATATGAACTAGCAACCACTGGTCATTAATATAGACACATTTGGAGTTAAATTGTATTATTCATTTTTTCTTAATCTTCCTATTTGTCTTAATGGACATGTTGAATTAGGATGGAGGGAGTAATATTTTATAATTTCATAATTTTCTCTGGGATAAAATAATGAAAACAACTAATAAAATAATAAGTTAATAATTATTCAAAAAACATCTATATAAATGTTGGTGCTTCAATAACATTAGCTAATAATTACAAAACTATACGTTTGTCCCGGGCGGATCAGCTTAATAACAAAAAACAAAAGATACTTCTAAAAAATAACTTCATATATTATGTATTTTATTATCACGACTAAGAAGTGTAATAAGAAAAGTACAAACGTAGATAGCCATACATGGCAATGTTTTATTGGAAATTTTTTTGTTTTTTGAAGATCAAAATACATGGCAAAGTACCATTCTCACGGGACAATGAAAAACTACAAAAGAATCCCTCAACTTTCTTTTCACCAGTTTACATTCAACTGAACCCACAAAAAGGGATTCAAACCAAAAACTCCATCTTGTTGCTTATCACCATTTTTTTTTTTCCGAGGCTAAATTTGAGGCCACGTTACACTTCTAGTTTGGTCTGTCCTGTTCAATTAACGCAAACATGAACACATTTTCCTGGTCTGTAACCCCTTGCCAAAATTAAACTAACCTCTTAACTGGCGACCTTTGGAGATGTGTTCACGTACTCCATCCGCTTCTTCTATAAGTCATCCCCTGGAGCCAATCTATATACCTCATCCGTAGCGGATTGCTTAACCGACAATCATTAAATCGAAACAGAGGACTTAAGGCGAGCTCAACAAATGTAGATTTATTGAACAAATTGATAAACCGAGAAATTTTATAACACTACAACATCTACATGATAATTGCTAGTTTCCAAAGGGCTGCGTAATACAGGAAATGAAGTCACAAAGGCAAGACTTTTCAAATCACCTCAGCATCGGAAAGGTATCATATCACTATCGTCACCAGCAAATCATTCTTATTTTCATTCTCGAAGCTTTTACCTGAGATCACAACATGCGACAAACAAAACTCAAAATCCCTATGGTGCAGCATCAACAGGCTCTAATTCCTTAACTTCCTTCTGCACCTTTTCCAAACTCGAAATCCTTCCTTCCAGGGACTGATAAAGGCTATCAGCCTGATGAGTGAGGGTTTGATGGGCAGCCTTGTAATCCTGATTGAGAGCATAAATGCCAGCGACCGAAGCCACCCCTACTCCGGTGAAGAAGGACGCTATCGTCACTCTCAGTATGTATCCCATTTTTTCAGCTCCTCCGTGTTCAGTCATCGCCATCGTCTTATTTCTTCCGCTTTCTTGCTTATCACCATTAAATCTAATAAAAACCCAATAAAATCCTCAATGATCAAGGCAAAATTCAGCATATTAGAATATGTTCCCGGTTGTTTGCCTGCCTAAAATGACAGAAACAATATCATGAAACTGCTTAATTGTATTATTAGAAAGAAAGTGCTCTCAAACAGTTAAGTTGATCTAGAGTTTTCCAACTACTAATTCTTTGATCACCCAAAATAAAAGAGAAAAGTTAAAAAAAGAAAAAGAAAAAAGAAGATAGAGTTAGGCATCTAAAGATTAATATATGCTCATGATGGGAAACGTGTGCTACAACAAAATTATTTATGAGGTTCTATACATGTTCACAGATGTCTCAAGTATATTCTCCAGTAATTCAAATATTAAAATTCATTTCACACAGTACCATATTAAAATTATATTCTACATTAATTTGAGGAATTACCTCTCTGGTAGCTTGATTGAGCCATCAGCCTTTATTTGATTTCGCGTTAGTAGACTCAATCCAAAGGGGATTCAGCTCCAAAACGTCGACGATCGGGTCTGCTTTCATTTGGATTTGACCAGTTTCGTTGAAACATTTTCAAAATGTCAACCCTTTTCATCAAAGATACTACTAAACGTCAACACCACAAAAATCACCAAAAACCTTCCTTCAAAGACATAATACTCACACACTAAACCAAGAAAACAGCGTACTAATTCCAACTATTGGCCCCCAAAGAAGAAAGAGATTAAATGAAAGTTCTGAATCATCCACATTAAACACACCATGAATCAATCTTCACAGCATCAGTAACTTCCACCCAAATTGATATCATCATAATAATACTTAGGACAACCAATAAACACGGGCAAACATCATACCATGATGACCAAATAGAGCTTCCTGAAAATCAACACAAATTTGATAATGTCTGTTGATTGGTCCGAACTTTGTTTTTTCCCTCCATCATTCTGACTGCAGAAGTAAGAGAAAGAATATGCTTAGGGATATAATTAACAAAGAAAAAAATTTGCTGAGATGGGATTGTTATTAATTAATAATAATTCTTGAAAAACCATAAAAAAAAAATGAAACAAACGAAGTCTAGGAGATTGAATTTCGATAACTAATTGAATGGAGATATTGTAAGGATTTTATGTGATGTGAAAATATTTTGTGTTGTGGAATCCCTTTTTGTCCTCTTTGGTTTCTGCCTTAATCCCGTCGGTTCCCCAATTTAAAAGTCGATTTGTTAACTTATTATCCCAGATTTTAGAGATTTGATAGTCATAAATTTAAATGCCAGGATTCGAATTTTAAATTAAAGTCATTCTAGTAATGTTTGACAGGGATTTATCATCTAATAAATAGAAAAACTATATATTATATTTTTCTGCCTCCTTACAATGCCACGTGTTAGAACGTGTTAGAATGTTTTGTGAAGAACTTTTAGCTTTTGGAGAGAAAATATGGAATGTGGAGCTGTCAAGTGTTTTCGAGTGTTTCCGCTTTAAATAGGTAAAGGAGATGAAAAATAAAAACAACTATGAACAATTTTTTAAATATGAATATAAAATATATTTTATGAAATTCCATATTTCATGTGATCTTTTTCTATCAAACTATATTAGTTTTAGCCTTTTAGGGAGATTGAACAAGTTCCTGGTCATCTTTTTTACACATTAATGTTTTGACAGTTTTCATTGTGAATTACGAATGAAGATGGGAAAAAAAAAAAAAAAGATGAATGCCTGTTATTATTAATCATAACTAGATTTCTTGCCTTGTGTTGCACGTCAAGAAGTGACTTTAAATTAATAAATATATGGAAAAAATATCACGTAATTAATTAATTATTGTTGATTATCAGACAAAATGCAAAGATGAATGGATGATATAAATAATAAACACATTATGCAACGTATAATAAAATCCATCTGACCATGTGCCAAAACTCCCATGTAAAAACTACTCAGTATATTAATTGTTGGTTTATTAAAAATAGATTAATATTTTCAAAATCAATCCGCATACTAATTCAATTAATATATTAATATTTTCTAAACATGACTTTAAAATCAATTTAAATACAAATAGATTGTTTTAAATGAAACTTTCAGTAATTATGTAATCACATATTCATTTTAATGTCCAAACAAAAAGGTAGGAAACATGTTAAGTTTGTAATTAACAAATACAGTATATTAATATAAACCGAATTGATACAAATAGATTTGTTACTTTTTTATTTTTAATTCATCACATCGTGGCTATTATCACCTCATAAATATCCACTATTTTGTTGTTAAAAAAATTTTCCTTGCTCAATTGCATGTAATAAATTAAATACTCAACCTTTTCAAGTTTCAACATCAAATCGCCAAAGGAAATTAAAAAGAAAAAACAGAAAACAAAAGAAAAACACAAATTAGCATATTAATTAATCACAGTTTATCACACCGGTTTATATTAATTGTTTGTTTAGTGAATATTGTTGGCTCATATTCAAAATCAATCCGCATACTAATTCAATTAATATATTAATATTTTCTAAACATGACTTTAAAATCAATTTAAATACAAATAGATTGTTTTAAATGAAACTTTCAATAATTATGTAATCACATGTTCATTTTAATGTCCAAACAAAAAGGTAGGAAACATGCTAAGTTTGTAATCACAAATGTTGTCATAAACCAATAAGACAAATATGTAATGACATGTTTAGTTTGTATAAACTACTCATCCATGTAAAACTACTGACTGTCGAAAAGGCCTCCATCTGACGGTTTGGATCAAATTGACGGGCATCATGACATCAGTAACTTATGAAGGGATATAGTTGTAAATCTATAATTCAATATTTATTTTGCTCCCTTATTTTAAATCTCCCGAGCTCAAACCAACCACGTTTTGCGACATTATGGAGCTAGAACAGATTTCCACCTTTTTTATCGCCAAAAAAAAAGAGAGACAATAAGACAGATTAACGGAGGTTTTAAAATAGGACTCGGAAGGAACCAAAATGACGTCGTTTTGGGGTCACGGAACCTTTTTAGAAAAAGGACACAAAACGACGACGTTTTGTGTACGTCATTTTGTGTTCGGGGGTTTTCTAAAAGAGGCTCAAAACGAAGTCGTTTTGGGTGGGGGGGGGGGAGGGGTTTAAAATAGGATCAGAAATTAACATCTATTTATGGATTTATAATTTCATCCCTCCATAAGTTGCTGATGTCATGACGCCCGTCAAATTTGATTTAGACCGTCGGATGGAGGCCTTTGGACGGTCAGGATCTCACCTGGGATGAATATTTTTCCCTAATTTCTTAGAGACTCAGACTTTTATTCAAGTATAAGGATAAAAATAAAGCTAAAGAGATGGGTGGAAAAATGTAATATGAACTACGTTTTCCATATTATGTTTTAGTGTAATTAAATCAATTTACATTATGTAGTCTTAATTAATTTGTTTTTTCATTTTTGAAGTACGTATAATTTTGTAGATAATTTATAATCCATGTCAATAAAAATCAACTCTCTTAATTTCAGTTG